GTTTGTTTTTTCAGGCTGGTGGTCAGTCTATTCTTTAAGGCATGAGCGAAATTGTTCATGAGCGGCTGTAGTCCAACTCCCGTATGCGAAACCATAGCAGCGTCGTCAACAAATAGCGGTTCTCTAAAACTTTTGTTTTTTGTTTTTGCCGGTAAGCTTATGTTTAACAATCTGCCATTAGGTCTGATTCACAGACGACTTCCTCGCAGTCCTTAAAGCGTATCGAAGAAGCATTGACTAGAAAATTATGAAGAGAGTAAGCGCTATGACACAATCTTGTTTAACACCACTATTCACCGGGGACGCATCAGATGTGCGTCCGTCAAACTAGACTGTGCCTTTCATGTTTTTGGGGAAGGCAATGATGAAATTCAACAAACATCTGGGACAACCTATTCTTTTTTAAATCTTGAAAAGACCTGGCAAAGCAATTCATGTAAAGGCAGTAGCAGAGCAGGCCTGTCGATTTTTAATACCTCAGGTAGTATTCCATCATTTCCAGGAGTTTTTTTTTATAGCAGTTTATAGCTCTGTTTAACTCTTCAATTGTGTGCGGTTTGTTTCTGGTTTGAATAATTTAATTTACTTATGTTGGATCATTAAAGTATTAGAATGAGTGCATTTAATTTCTAATTACATAAATTTATGTATTAATAATTTATCTTTCATTTTGCCTAATATTTAATATTTGCTTATATTTTGATTTACTTCTTTGTGATAATATCATTCTCGAACAAATTTTGTAACTTTCTAGTAATTTTAGTATTGTAATTTTCTCTCCAACGTGTTAATATAATTTTCGTACAAACGTAGATACACATTTAAGATTTGTATTTTTTTAATTTTTTTTTGTCGATTGAAAAGGTGGCTATGCTCGATGAGTCTTTTTTTGACTCTTTACGGTCATCCTGAGCCTTGTTCTTTTTTTCTTTGAGGGGTTTTAATGAAATAGTATTGTATATTGTATTGGTTGATTGGAGGGGTGTCAATTTACTCCCTTTTTGGCATTTCTTGAAAAGAGTCTAAAGCGACATCCAGGTAACACATTTCTGGTGTAGTAGAGTTTCAAATAGTGTTTCGTCCAACGCTGAAGTTGCTTCTCTTTTATTTGATTATTTTGCCAAACTTTATGTAGCAGTTTTTTTGATCATCGGACCTATTGCTTTTCTCATTCCTTTGTATACCTCGTACATTTTCGGTAACAGCTGCTGTCTGAATGCTATCGCAAAGACCAGGCCGATATAGGTTAGCGGACTGACGGGTGACTTTTTGGAAATTATTTTTTGCTGTTCTCAGAACTTATAGGGTGCAGCAGATGTATATGCTAGGAAGGCCTTTCTTTTTTCCTCGATCACAAGTTCCAGCCAAGCTTGTTTAGAACCAGTCTGAGTTTTTTTGCCTTCTTTTGTCCAGGACCGACAAGGCAGCGTTACAGTTTCATTTATTAAAGCGTTTTGTTCTAATCAGCTATTGTTTTGATCTAGAAGTTTTCTGATCAACTCTGGATTGTTAATGCGATCCATGCTTATAGTTTTGTCAGTATGCAATTTCCTAGGCGTTAATCAATTTCTGTTGGCGATAAAAGCGGGGTCTGAATTTCAATATGTGCTAGATTGACAACAGTGAGATCAATGCTTTTGGTGATGGACAGGTCAAGCTGATGCCATTGTTTGGACCGCGATGTCTCCATGTCTCTTTACTCTAACAAATGGACAAAAAAAACAATCAAACAAACACCATACATTGACTGATGTTCGCGATTTCCCGAAGTTGAGCCCAGTCACTCGGCTGTTTTACTATCCCTTTCTCACAACTTATTAAAGTTGTCGTTATCACAACCCAACATCATTAATTAGTATTAAATTTTGAAGTATTGAAAGTAAATTGCGATTTTAGTAATATTAACTTTATTATAATTTAAAGAGTTTGTAATATAACCATTTGCTGGTTCGTTTGCAGCCAACAAATTGCAGATAACTGCCTCTTTGGTTTGACAAATAACAAAATTTTGAGCTTTTAACTAAAAATTTTTCAGGATTTAACAAATTTACCTTTTTAATCTCTTTTGCTTTAAAGTATTTTTTAAAAATTTAATATAATCGGATTTTAAAAATCATTTAAGAGTCATTTTATTTTATCCGTATCTACATCATCCAATTTACCTATTATGTTATGATAAATTGTAATGTTGATGTTGATATCAACTGTTGTGTTTTTTATAGTTTGTTTCACGATTCATTAAAATTTGTTAAATAAAATGTTTTGAATAATATTTCTTTTGGTAGACGAAAAAAATTCAAAGTTATTTATCAATTTTATAGGTGGATTTTCATAATGAAATTTTGGTTAACAATGGATTATCTCTGTTTATTCCCGATAACTCTTTGTTGTCCATCTACTCTATTAAAAAAATGTTTCATATTTTGTGTTTTATCGGTCTTATGGCTCAGGATTTAAAGACATGTAATGATTTTCATTATTTGTCAGTCAAGTCTAATCGTCGAGACGATGTTCCAGACGATGTAATGGAGATTACATTGTTATATCTACGATGTTAGTTTTCCTTTTTGATGATTGAATATTTTTCGTATTTCCGGCCTCTTATTAACTTAGTCATGTATATTAATTATATAGAACATCGCAATAATTTAGCCATGTATATTAATTATATAGAACATCTCTCGTTAGATGGCCTATTAAATAAATGTACTTCTAATATTTTTGGTTTTCAATATAGAATAAACATGGTGCGTGTCGTCCCTAATTTTTTTTTTAAATTTTTAAATTGTCTAATGCGTTGATGATCGTTGCAATAAACCTACTTCAGGTGTGGCTTAACTTGTCACATAGTTCAATGTCACACATGTGTCTAATGAAAAATATGTTTTTGTTTAATTTTGTTGAACATACTCAGACAAAAATAAATAAGCTTCAATCGTATTGCAAGTAGAATATTTATTTTTTTTAGAAATAAACCATTTAACCGTTACTCATAAATTTCTCTTTTATTCCAATAATTACATTTCTATTAAAAAATTGTGATTGTAATCCTTTTTTTTTAATTTTACACCTCTAAAATTTTACACCTCTAAAATATTAAATTGTACATCTTTGGACATATAGAATAAACATAGGTCTTTTGTCTATATGTGGACTTAGCTATGTCCGTTATATCCAACTACAGATTTTTTCATGACAGCACTCCATGTTTGCTGTTCTGTGCAATTTTATCTAGAGTCGTTCTATGACGTTCTATTGTTATTCTGATCAATGTCAATCTAGCTATTTTAAAATTATTTTTAGAGATGCACCGGATTTAGGTTTTTCAAATCCGGCCCGGGCCGGACTTGGCCAGATTTAAAATTAAAAAACCGACTGGGGCCGGATTTTAGTTACCATTTTACATACGTTAGAAAAAATACATTTACGGTTATCTACATGTTGACCATCAAAAAATAACACCAAGCAAATAGACAATTAATTCAAATACACGAATAAGCTGTGTGATGCCCCAAATACGTTCTAGTTACATTTATATATTGTTGTGGTTGCGTTTGATGTTGAGAACACCGAACCAGAAGAGCAGTGAGCGGGAGAAGAAAATAATAGTATTCGTTTGGATAGGCTGGACACGTGTTTCGTCCCTACCGGGGACTCATCAGCAGCCCGAATGCCTATCAGAATAGTTATCGCAGTTTCTTATAAAGCCCGCACAAATCAACTCCTTAATTCCTATCTAGTTTAGAGTTTATATATGCTATTTAATTTCTAATAATTTTAATATATTTTGAAATTTTTGGTAATCATTTTTAATTGTTGTTCATAATAAATTTTTCACTCAATTTTCTACAATATTGGACATGGAATTGATTAGCGCTTTACTTTCCGAATTAATAATCTTAAGATACATACATATACAAGTACAAGAACAAAGTTAACTCAAAATATAGTAAAATAATAAATATATCTTTATTCTAGACATATACAAGAATACATTTTTATTAAAATATCTCGGTTATATTGACACACTGATTTTTAACAGAATTATTTGTAATATTTTGGATCAATAATTGGACATGAGGCTGATCATCGCCACAGCCGACAGAACAAAGTTATCTCAAAATCTAGTAAAATAATAAATATATCTTTATTTTAGACATATACAAAATACATTTTCATTAAAATATCTCGGTTATATTGACACACAGATTTTTAACAGAATTATTTGTAATATTTTCGATCAATAATTGGACATGAGGTTGATCATCGCCACAGTCGACAGAACAAAGTTAACTTAAAATATAGTAAAATAATATATATATATATAGTAAATAAAATATATCTTTATTCTAGACATATACAAAAATACATTTTTATTAAAATATCTCGGTTATATTGACACACTGATTTTTAACAGAATTATTTGTAATATTTTCGATCAATAATTGGGCATGAGGCTGATCATCGCCACAGCCGACAGAACAAAATTAACTCAAAATCTAGTAAAATAAAAAATATTTATTCATTCTAGACATATATACAAATACATTTGTATTAAAATATCTCAGTTATATTGCCACACGGATTTTTACGATGTCGAACTTGCCGCATTAGATAATGATACCTGCAGAGATAGTGATTCGGCATCTTTCACAGACCAGGAACTAGATGCCAACAACATATTCGTTTAGACTTGAAGTTGGTGAACGGCAACTACTACGGCAATCACAACAAAATCATTTGTTTAAAAATGTAGACTGGATTAATATAATGACAAGAAATTTGAAAAAATTTAATCCATATTGCTGCTTATGCTTTTTGTGGCATAGGGTTAAGAAAGTGGATTCTATTAGGCGCGAAGGTTATCTTTTTAATGCTCAGGGATATTGTAAATTCACGGGGTGTCCCATAACATTCAAAATAATTATTTCTGACGAAGATCTTTTTGATGCTCATGTGAAGTTTTCTGGCATAACTTGCATACATAGATTGCCGGAAATATGGCTAGACCGGTTAGGGCGAGTAAAAGAGGGGAAATTGCTTCTTCGATGAGAAATATTATTCCTCGCCAAAAACACCTAGACTGCATTAAAGAGCTGTGCCCTGAAGTACGAGTGGCTGGCAGCAGAGATGATGCTCCTTCTGTAGCGGTCCTTTCGCAAATTGTATGCCAGTACAACAAAACGAAACGAAAGCATCCAAACGAAATGGAAAGTCTGAGATTATTGAAGGAAGATTTTGAAAAACAACACCAAAGCTATGCCTGTCTGCAATATATTTTCACTGAACCACCCAGTGTCATGCTATGGTCCAAAGAAAGTTTAATAATTTTACGCCAACGATGCATCGATGATGTGGTGTACATAGACGCAACAGGAAGTATTGTAAAGAAAAGGAAACATCCATTTTATATCTATGAAATGGTTGTCAGAAGTTCGATGAAAGGAAAATCACCGTTTCCTGTCGCTACATACCTGACAAACCTTCATTCAACTGCCTCAATTTTGTCATTTTTAAACTTCCTGTATAGCGACTACTGTAAATTGTTTGGGAAAAGTAGTAGGGTAAGCCCGCGGTATTTTATTTGTGATGGGTCCATCGTCTTGCTGCAAGCATTGGCTCGGACATTCTGCTACGAGCTACTGGAATCAGTTATGGAAAGATACTACAGGATAGTGGTTGGTCACGGAAACACTAAGGACTTCCAAACACCAATCATACACAGATGTCTGAGCCACATTATGAAAAACGCAAAGGTATTATATTTAAAGAACACTCCAAAAAATTTTACCTTTGCGATGCACCTCATCAGACGAGTGGCTAATGTCACAATGATTAACGAACTGAACAGTATCTTAATATCAATGGAAGGAGGTTTTGGGAGTGAGTTTGAAGGACCACAGGTGACACAATATCTGCTTCAACTCCAACAAGCCATAAATGATAACGAATTTGGTTTAGAGGAAAACGGAGCAACAGCAACTACAGAATTGGCGGAAACGGAAGATGTAAGTTTACAATTGTATTAATTTGTTAAATTTATGTTATTATTATTTTCTAACATATAATTTATTTAACTCTTTTTAAAGGACGTTTGCCAGCCTGGATCTTTTATGAAAGCATGCGAAAACAATATGGCTCTTGCTAAAATAACAGACACCGGAATTAAAAGAAATATGCATTATTCCCCTGAATTTTTATCATCATTTAAGAAAGATCTTTTGCCCAGTGCTCTTCTTTGGACAAATTTACTAACCGGTAATCTTGGTAGACATGGCACATCAGATAATTATAAAAATCAAAACGCTATATATTTAGAATTGACCCTAAAAGATACTCAAAACATTACAAAAGACTATAGGACACAGGGCATTATGGAAAAAAGCCAATGGGATTTAAAGCACATAAGAATGACGAGACCGTTAAATAGAATAGATTTTGTTATCACATACCAGGAAATCCACCTAGCGATGATCACAGAATTTGCTTTGCTGATAATCAAAAAAGACTGTTTAAAAAACGAAAAATAGATCTGGAAGTTTGGAAAAAAAGTAAACAGAGGAAAAAGGGAATTTATGTCTCTAACCCAAAAAAACCCTTAATTTTAATTAAAGACGAGATTCAGGAAAACCAGTCACTTGTCACTAAACCAGTTACTCTTATACAGGAACAACCAATAATTTTAAATTCATTTTGGTCAGATCTACAAGGCATTAGTTGGCTGTCATCAGATCACATCAATCTCGCCATGTTTATTTTAAGTTTGCAATACCCCCACATTGATGGGCTATCTGACACTGACTTTCTCACACATATAGGGTTAAACAGCAACTTACCCACGCCACATGGAAAATTTATACAAATATTAAACAAAGGAGGAAACCATTGGATTACCGTCAGCAACTTTTTTTCTGAACAAAATATAATTGACATATATGACATTAGACCCACAAAAATGTTGCCAGAGGATGAACGGGTGATTTGTTCCATTATGAAGAATTTCATTCTTCCAGAACAAAAGAATGTGATTATGCATCTACACAAAGTTCAGGAAGAAATCGGCTCGAATGATTGCGGGGCCCTAACAATAGCTTTTGCATCATCATTAGCTTGTGGGCTAAATCCCACATGTTGTTCATACAAACAAGAAAACTTACGTGCAGAGTTGGCAAAAGTATTCACCTCCAAATTTTTTCATCCGTTAGAGGAGAAGATTACCAACAGAAAGAGTAAGCTAAAAAACATAGAAATAAATCTGTACTGCACCTGCCGTTTGAACCACATTCCTCACAAGACCGATGTTAAGGAGAACATGATCACTTGTGATCGATGTGGAGAATGGTTTCATAGAGGTTGTCAACAAATTCCACAATCAGCCTTTGATTTAAAATCCTACATTTGCAAAAAATGCAATTAACAGATAAGACAAAGAAATTATTAGAAGAGGACTAGAGATCAGCTCACATTGGTTTTATTCTGTAAAAAATCAGTGTGTCAATATAACCGAGATATTTTAATGAAATTGTATTCTTGTATATATCTAGAATAAATATATATTTATTATTTTACTAGATTTTGAGTTAATTTTGTTCTGCGGCTGTGGCGATGATCAGCCTCATGCCCAATTATTGATCGAAAATATTACAAATAATTCTGTTAAAAATCAGTGTGTCGATATAACCGAGATATTTTAATAAAAATGTATTCTTGTATATGTCTAGAATAAAAATATATTTATTATTTTACTATATTTTGAGTTAACTTTGTTCTGTCGGCTGTGGCGATGATCAGCCTCATGTTCAATTATTGATCAAAATATTACAAATAATTCTGTTAAAAATCCGTGTGTCAATATATCCCGAGGTATTTTAATATAAATGTATTCGTATGTATGTCTAGAATAAAGATATTTCTATTATTTTACTAGAATTAGATTATTACAAAGCAATATACAATTCTTGTATATATATGTATCTAATCAATTTATTCTATATATATATATATATAGTATATATGATATACATTGCGTCTGATAGAATTTCCATATATTTGTTAGGCTTTATTCAATGCTATCTTGCCTCGGATAGATTCAGACCAGTGCGTATGGTAGCCGGTCCAACCACAATTGTTTCAAAATGCTTTCGTCTCTATTGTTTGCCCCCCACAGGCTTTGCATGTGCCTCAATAGTTGTGGTGGCGTTTTGTCTTCCATGGCCACGCCTCGGAGCAACGTGCGCAAATTTTCTTCGTCTGAGACCGAATATCTCTGCGTTAACACGCGCTTCAGTGAGGTATAAGTTCGTGCCGAACACGTATTCATTTATTTTGTATTACGCAAATAAATACGTTGTAAACATTAAAAAAAAGGCAATGCAATTAGACAAAGAGAAGTTCGATCGTAAAATGTCGCAAGAAGAAGGGCTGTTGTCTTTGCGTTGAAGCTATATATAGTAAGTCGTCACATGCTTAGATTAGGGATGTGCGGTTCAACAATATGTATAAGCGCAAAACATTTTATTTATATGCACGCGCTATAATTAAACACATGATAACATCATTATAATATGCTCAGAGCTAATAAACATGAAATTCAAACATGAACTTTCCTAGCGCGCACGCTGCTTGACCATGTTATACAGATAAAAGTACTCAGTCAATAATTTATGCATAAAACTTATGGCACAAAGAAATGTGCATACCAATAAAAGATGATATTGTTATGTGTCATGTATTGCCTCCAGCCTAATCTTTAACATAAAATGTTCTTAAATTATGCTCTTTTGTAGCTATATGTGTATATATATATATATATATATATATATATATATATATATATATATATTCTGCCAAGTTGTTAACTGGTGGTTCATATTTTGATCATGTTACTCCTATTCTCTTCAATCTTCATTGGTTGACCGTTCAACGAAGAATTGTCTTCAAAATTGCCCTACTGGTGTATAAAAGCATTAATGAATTAGCGCCGAAATATTTAATGGATCGAATTGTTCCAAGAAATGCACCGTTACAGTGTCAGAAGTTACGGTCAAACGATTTAGATTTGTTAACAATTCGACAAACTCAGCTTGCTGTTGGTTGCAGAGATTTCGCTGTTATGGGACCGAAGCTTTGGAACAGTTTGCCGGTTGACTTGCGAAATCGTGGGTTGTCAATTACTGAATTTCGAAGAAAGCTAAAGAACCATCTTTTCAGAAAAACTTTTCATGATATGATTTGATTGAAGTGAAACATTTAATCAACTTTTGCATTAGCGCATTTAATCAACTTTTGCATTGTTAGCGCCTTTGAGAACAATAAAGGGCCCTTTATATATAAATAATCTAATAATATATATATATATATATACATATATATATTTACAATATTCTATAAATTCTACCGAATGTTTGGCGTTAATATGTTTGTAGTTCGTTTTTTCAATTTTTCTCACTAAAGTTTTTTGGTGAACGTTTAGTTTATTAAAATTCAAAATAAACTTATTTTCCGAATTCATTATATATATATATATATATATATATATATATATATATATATATATATATATTTTTTACAATATTCTATAAATTCTACCGAATGTTTGGCGTTAATATGTTTGTAGTTCGTTTTTTCAATTTTTCTCACTAAAGTTTTTTGGTGAACGTTTAGTTTATTAAAATTCAAAATAAACTTATTTTCCGAATTCATGCTGCAAATAAGGCCATATTTCGATTCAGAATGAATCATCATCAGTGCGGTTAAGTTTATATAAGGAAATATTGCCTTTGTCAAAGTGAACTTACATGGAAATTAGGTGTCAGGTTTCTTTATTTGCTGATCAATCTTCGTTGGTTTCCTTTTCTTCATCGATAGCATCATATTCTTCTTTGTCACTATTTACAATGCTAGTTTTTATTACTTCTTTGTTTTCATTGTTGATTAAGCGCCAGTTGGAAGTGAGGTTGTCATTTTTTGTTGTATATTTATTTTTGGTTTATTGATGTAAATTAGAACTGCTTCTGCAATTTTAAGATGCGCGTAGTTGCTGTTCTGGTATATTACTATAGTGTTGCTGTCGAGGATTTCACGGCTAATTGTGATTGAGTGTGTTGAGTCCAAATGAGATTTGACAGCACCACTCTGATTATGCATCGTAACTTTAGGGGCATTTTCTTATTTGTTTTATTGTGTAATCTTTTTCCTTTTTAAATCTTCGCCTCCCTTAAACATGTTATATATATACATATATATTTTATATATATAATGAAATATATATATTATATATATATTTCGATCGCTGCGATAACATTATTCAATTTTTTCATAATTCTTTCAAGGTTTCTTATTCACTTATTATCATTATAGTTTAATAGATTTAGTAAATTTATTAAAGTCATGTTAAGTGATTGGATTCGACGTTTCGAGACAAATTTATGTCATCATCGAGAATGAATTAATTGTGGAATGTGTTGCTTATATAGTATTTATAATTGCTTTGATTAACAAAGAATTTATATTGGTCTGTTTGTTGGGTTGTTTGGTTGATCATCTGCTTAGGAATGAATTTATTAGACTATAATGATAAAAAGTTAAGAAATTTTGCAAGAATTATAAAAAATTGAATAACGTTATCGCAGCAATCGATTTATATATATATATATATATATATATATATATATATACACATATATATATTAAAATCGATCGCTGCGATTTATATATATATATATATATATATATATATATATATATATATATATATATATCAATATATGAAATATCACAAATTATTTACACTATTTACATAATCTATTTTCTCAACCTACTAACTTGTCTAATATTTCTTTAATTTTAGCTTTTTAGGTTTCTAAACTTATCTTATTCAGTTATTTTAATGATTTTCAATTTTCAAATGTTGGTTCTTTAAAAAAATTTATATTTAATTAACATTCAAGTAACCCACCGAATTAATGAAATTTTAATTGTCATTCGAAGGTCTTGTAAATTTTCTAGAGGAGGATATTAACGAGTGCATGGTTAATTTAAACACTGGTATAAATGCTCTAAGTCCGGCAAATCATCATTATGTGCTAAAAAATTTTTACTTGTTATTGGCATTATGCTTATCTCTGAAAGTTTGTAATATCTTATGGTTTTATTGTTTCATTGGCATAGTTGTTTTTATTAGATAATTCGACATTTTACGGGGTTTTTTGCTTTATTTTCTATTTCCTTCTTGATGCATTTGAATCTAGTGTTTGTATATTTTTATACATTTTCCCGCCTTCTTCATTATTTACCTTTTTTTCTTTTCAGGTTACACATGTACTGAAAATTTTGCATTATGTACCCATGTAAACTTATGCGCCTATGCACCCATTTACGGAAAATTCTAATTTTTTGCAGAAAATTTTTCGCAAGAAAATTCTTTGCAGGAATATTCTTCACAGGGAAAATTCCCAGGAAAATTCTTCGCAGGAAAATTTTTTGCAAAATTCTTTGAAAGAAAATTCTTCGCGAGAAAATTCTTCGGCAGAGCAGCAAGGATTGTCAATGTGATCAAAGGTGAAGCAAAAACAACGCATAATGCCACTCATCGGATAAGGCCACTCTTTTGTTGGTTTATCACAACCAGTCGTTAGTCAATTGCCTTACTTTGAGCACACATGGATTGGACGTCCAAATCGTCATTAAAGAAGGCCTTCCCGTTTTTGATGCGAACTATGGAATTGTTATGATGCTGCATTAATGGGCGCTCCCAAAACTAATAATTCTTGCAAAGAATGGTATAGAGCCTTTGGTGAATTGATTGAAGCGAGTCACCCAACTGTTTGGAAATTTATCAATGGCTTAAAAGATGAGCAAGCACTAAACGAAGGATATATTGAACAATATCTCGCTGGTGGAGATCTTCTAGCAGCGAAAAAGTGCTGTCGTGATACTGCCGTACGCACTCAAAGAATTATGGAAAATTATGTGAATCGTGACATAATGGATTATGGCTCATAATTTTAATTTCTGAACTGAGAAGAATTTTCTTGAGAAGAATTTTCTTTGCGAAGAATTTTTTGAGAAGAATTCTCCGGACACCCTATGCACCTGTTTTATCTTACGCACCTATATAGCCATGTACCTTTATGAATCTGTGCACCTATAAGCAAAAAGGAAAACTTTACCTAGCATGCGCCATGCGTTGTTCGTTGTTTGGAAGCGAAATCTGTCTACTGTAAAAGAGATTGAAATATGTACAGAATAGTTCATGCATGTCATTTGTTGCTTGCTGAGGGATGCACTAAAACGAATATAGTGTGAAATCGTTTTGTATGTTGGAATGAAGGCAGAAAAAAATGCAAATTTTCGAATTGAACTTTTTTGCTTATATTAAGCGTTGATAAAAAAAACTTGAGCCAGCTAAATTCAGAC